TGTGGATTAATGATAACCTATTGCAGTTTTCTCTAGGTGGATCCACTAATCACTCTGTAAGTGGGACAGATCCAGCTAGGGGCCGGACGGTTAATACACAGTCATCGATGGTGAAACAGGCTAAGTTTAATATTGAGCTTTTATAAATTTTAATTATATTCACTAAACTAGTTTGTATAGTATGTACCTGACAGAATTTTTAATTTACCCACCAATACTCCCAGATATTATTCGCTCAACCTCGGAAGGGGGCACTTTACCTTCTTTGTTACCACCTATGGCATCGGATCAGTTCCATTTGACTGATTTTCATTTAAGTGGAGTACCATATTGAGATATCCTGAGCTAAAAGGGTGGGGGTCCTGGAGACTGCCAGGGCAGGAGGTCTTATGAGGCATTTATGGTGGGTTAAACCAGAAACATTTTTTCATGCAATCCTTCTGATAGTATGACTGTAGATTTCAGCCCTTGATCGATGGAAGGCCAGAAGTCCCATCTTCATGCAGCCTAACCTGATTAAAGCTTGTTCCAGATGATTGGGTAAACTTTTATAGGATAACCGGTAAACCTGATCAGAAGGATAATTTTTGATTTTTGATCCTTAAGTGGTATTGAACTACAGATCTTGTGATTATGACCTGGGAGCACTACTACTGTGCTATTGATCCACAGGTCCATTCTTTTAATTTTGATTTTGTATTTATTTATATAAATCAATAACTTATAATAGATTTCAAATTTTTATATAATCTTTCAATTATATTATATAAGTTTCAATATTTTTTAACAACTATACTTAATTAAAAAAATTTTATTAATAAATATTTTCTATTATTCAAAAAGTTAAATTCTTAATGATCTTTTTGTTTTGCAATAATAAAGGATTTGAAATAATAATAAAAATCCTTGCCAATTATAACACCATTTTATAACATCTAAAGAAATAAAGTGACTTATAATATTTTTGTTTTTTACTCTTATAATCAGATTAAAATAAGAAAATAATCTTTTTTATATACTTTATTTAACTAAAATAATAAAAAGTTAAAGATCTTGGCTTAAATAAATAATTATCTTTTCATAATCTAAAGAAGTTAATATCTATTTTAATGACTTTATAATTTAATTATTTTAGTTATACTTTATTTAAAGAAGTAATGAAGTTTACATTAATAGTTTCTTTTTTTTTTATTATTAATATCATTGAAACATATGATTATAGTTAATAAAAACTTGTTTATATATTGTTACCAATATATTTTATGTCAACAAATCAAATGTTAGATAAATTATTTTATCAAAAATTCAAGAACAAACTGGAATAGATAAAATTTCTTAAGAAAATTATAAAAAATTATAAATACTTTAAAAGAATAAAGGGCAGATATGTATATAAGATAAAAAATAAGCCTTTTCATATTCAAAAAATCTCTATTTATATATTACTTTCAACTCTGAAAAATGATATTTCATTAGTTAATCCTTTTATTTCCAAAAATTTTCTTATTTTTAGTAAAAGAAATGTATATTTAAATCTATTTAAATTATCAGAAGCTTAAGTTTTTATTCAAAGAAGTTTATAAAAAAATAGAAAAAGGTAGTGATGACTCCTGAAGACAAGCTTCAGGTTATTTTAAGGAAAGTGCAAAGACTTTATTAACCAAGAGGTATAAAATTTCTTGTGAATGTCTTTTAATTTTATAAGAAAATTTTAAAAATTTGAAAAATTGATTTCTTATTTTTGTATTATTATTGTTCAAATGATTCTTTTGTAAATTACTCTTAAACACTCAGCCCCTTTTAACTGCTTCATATTTTCTACGTTCATTAAACTTTTGAAAGATTGTATCTAATCTTGTATAGTAACACTCACAATCTGTGTCACGAGAAAAGCACAGAATCCTTATAAACAAATAGTTTTGAACTATCCTATATGTGTAGAAGTAGCAATTTTTTTTTTAGTATTTATACGTAATAGAATAACAACATTAATCAAGAAATTATAAATTCCGGAGTCGGGATTTAAAAGGTGAACTTAATTAGTTATTATCAAGATGCTATAATGATATCAGTCGTCATTAATCCTTAATCGCAAGAAACAAGAACCATTGCATTTCAAATAATATACACTTATATATAGCAAACCACACTTATATGACGTAAATGGTATGCAATATGATGCATAGGCGTGACAAATTTATTAGTACTTATAAATACGTAATATGTACATAGCGAGCATTGATTTTTTTTTTTTTTTTTTTTGAAGAAAATTTTACGGGTTGATCACATTAAAAGGAGATAGTTACTTTCTTTCCAGCCAGTTTTACCTCTGCGACTATAGTCCCAGCGCATAACCGAAGGTAAGAAAAAAAGAACATCCCAATAATTTATCGACCATTAGGTGAATAAATACGAGACTTCTTAATTAATGAATCTTAATTAATAAATATATTTTAAGCAAAAAATTTTTTCTTCAATGCTGGAATCTTACAAATCTCTAAAAAAATTTTATATATTACAATTACTTTAATTAATTAACAAATAAAATAAAGTCGCAAATACAAAACAAATGAAACAGTTATTTATCTTAATCTTGACTAATTCCCTTCTTCAATTCAAAAATCCTCTACATTTCGATGCTCCACAATGGCAAGGAATCTTATCAAAATTATCAATTGGAAACTATATTCGATAGTTATACACGGTAAAATTATATAACGACGATTTAGTAATCATTTATTAAATTATTTAATTATCAGTGAAAACATGTTTTAGTATGTATCATGACATTCAACAGAATACGATCACCAAAATTGCGCAAAAACACGCTGAAATTATAAAGTACAAATATTATTTTTACCTTATAATCATAGGTAATTTCTTCATTTTTTTGAATGTCCCTTTTTGCATATATAGCTATCTTCTTGGCCCCTTTGACGTTAAGAATCTTAGCATTGCAATTTGGCTAGATTATTGTTCCACGATGTCATTCATAATGATGATGATTAATCAGTTAGAATTGTATGAGGTTCAATCAAATAGCTCATTCGCGCATTATTTAACATTACCTCACAAGAATGATTTATCAATCTTGCATTATTCCCCATTCGAGTAGCGTCGATTATGGTATCATCTCCCACTCGAAACATGTAGCTGCCTTCAATTCCTGCTGCCTTATATTTTCGCTCTCGAAGATCCGCAACGGATTGCCTAACCAGTTCTCCCGTGTATTCGATTATGAATTCACCAGATTTAATTTTTTCTAATGTAAAAAGTCCATAATGATGGATTGATGATTTTGCTATTGTAAGTTCTCGCTCTCTTGACTTCAACGGGCTAAACCCGTAATAATCATCCGCCATTCGTGCTTGGAGTTCCCGTCGTTTGGCCCTTGATTCCCTGGGACTGGGCGCTGGTGCTGCGGCCGTTGCATACGGTGTACCTGCTATTCCGTATGCCACATATTTCCGCTTCTCTTCGGGCGGTATCTTATAGTATCCTTCGGTTCTTGCACATCCTGTTTTATGTGGTCCCGGCGACGAACGACGATCTTTGGCAGGATTTACTTTTTTTTTTTAAGAAAAAAAAAAAAAATAAAGGTGGAATAAAAGAGAAGTAAAAATATAATAAAAAATAAATAAACCATTCAAGACGTCCATTCATAATCAGAATGACTTACGGTTAACTTTGGGAGAGTGCCTGTTTTCACTTGTCGACGGCTTACCATTTGTATTAAGTTGTTTCTTCTGTTTCATATGTAGGATAAATAACGAGACGAGACGTGAATCACTTTTAAATCAGGTAAAACAGGTCAATCCACCGAAAATCCATCAGTCGATACGTAATTACCTCGCTTTCATTATTTGATGAATTAGATCCGCTGGTTCGCTTTGTGTTGTCGCTACTATCCGACAAGTTGTCGAAATATCGAGATCTAGAGGAATGGTTAGACGAAATTACTAACATGTCCGGTCGGTCTCATTCAGTGTGTCAAACTCAAAACATTAATTAAGTCTTAACTGTTTTTTTGCGGAGGTTTTGGCTTCCATTCTCTGTGACATTGCGCTCGATGAACCAACCTTTGACTTTCGACTTCCCTTGGCTTTACTACTAGCAACAATAACTCGATTTTTCAATTCACGGGGCTTCGTAACAGAACCAGCTCCGGCAGAAGATGCTTTTTTACTAGCTTCTGATGCACTCGAAGCATTGGATTTACTAGATTTGTATGTCTTCTTGCCGGCCTCGGATGCACTCGAGGCGTTGGATCTTTGTATTTGTTTCTTGGACTGAAGTTTATCTGAAATCGAAAGTGTTTGAGCAGATGGTTTATTGTCTTCCACCTCCTCATCACTTGCAGATTTTTCTTTTCCGGATGCATCAGATTTTAACGATTGTTTAGCATTTTTTTCAGATTCGGACGAGGATGAATAATCCCAGTCACTAATATTCGGTCTTATAATTGGTTTAGCGGGCTTAGAATTCGTTCTAGTATTTTTCCGACGAGCCGTATCATAGAAATCGTCATCTGAATCTGTTGAATCGTTGGCCGTTGAAAGGTGACCATATAGGTCGTCACCCGAAGAATATTTACCACCAAATCTGGATGATCTTTTTGAATCAAATTGTCTCTGACGGGTGGAACCATTCTTTTCCTTACCATCCTTTTTCTCTTCTTTAATACCAGGTGTCTTGTGACTCTTTGTGGATTTTTCGGATTTCTTGGTCTCCTTGGGTTTGTTGAGGTCGGAGAATTTTCGGGCGCTCGGAATATCTGACAATGAAGTGAACGCCTCGGAAAAACTGATCCCTATTTTATGTTCTTCCTCTTCCTCGAATTTAATCATGTCGTTGCTTGTGACCTGATAAAAACCACTGTCTTTATTATTCTCGGTGGTACGATTGCCAGCATCGGCGCGAGTAAATTTCGGTTTTTCCGGCAAGCCCCAACCATGAACAGTATCCCGTTCCTTATTACGAGTGTTTTCTTTATTTCTTTGTTCACGACTACGGGAATGGGTTGTGCTACGGGAATGGGTTGTGCCACGGTCATGTTTACGACTGCTTTCGTAACCGCGGTCTCTATTACGACTGGGCTCATGATGTCGGCTACGATAACTAGTTGGACTTCTATCACGACTTCGACTCCTCTCGACAATTGAATATTTACTTTTGCTCGATCGGTCTCTGGACGAATTTCTCCTTCTACGCTCTGAGATATATCGATCATTCTCATATTGCGAAGGTTCATGATCTCGCCAGGTTGATCGCGACCTTGAGTTGAAATGTCGCCACATCGAATCGATCGAGTCTCTCTCTAAATTCTTCATTTTTTCTCTGGAATCGTAGCGGTTAGATGAAGAACGACCTGACATTGATACTCGCGAAACCGATTCTTCGGAATTTGGATCAATTTCACCGTCCTCTATATCATCGTCAGCGGGTGGTATTTCAGGATTCTGCTCTTGCTTCTCCGGACTATCACGCTTGACCTTAACGGCTTCTTTCGTTGCTTTCGTTGAGGAGACGGAGGGCGTGGAGAATTTGTTCTTAACGCCATCTGATGAACGTGATTGTGGCGGGTCTAACAGCGCTGTGGTAGGCGGCGCCGTTTGTGGTGATGGTGACGGTATTTCGTCAATTTCCATGTCAATTTCATTAGGTAGTGGGGTTGTGTGCTTATTATGGTTAATTGGTGAGTGTTTTTCGGTTTGTTCTCGTTGCAACCGGGATTCAGAAAGTATTTTTTCTATTGCCATTCTTAATTTTGAACCTAAATTCGAGAAAACCACAAAACAAGCCAGTTTAGTACGCATAGCGTCCATCTTTAGGAAACTAGTGAGTTTTACCGTTGCTGTCCAATTCGACTTTAACAGGTGAGCCGTCAGAAATCTGCTTGCCATTAAACCGAACGACGGCTTCTCTTGCAGCATTTAAGGCGGTGCCTTCGGTTTCCCCGAAGTATGTGATCTTCGCTATGCCAAGACTTTGATTGTTTTCGGGGTTCTTTTCGACTTCGCAATCCTTTACAAGACCGCATTCCTCGAAAATTTCACGAATTGATGATTCCGTCATAAAATTATCCAGTTCATACACGAGAATCGATGACTCGTTTCGATTTTTCGGTTTCGTATCTTTCTATAGTTTTTTTTTTTTTTTTTAAAAAAAAAGTAGGCTGTTAGATTTAGAAACCTCGATAAAAGACCTAGATCTTTGCCTTTAAAATACCTCATAGGTGAGCACTTGCAATGAATTACAGTACTTATGGCGTTTCGCGGTTATGTTCAGGGTATAGTTCCGATTAACACGCGGGTCTCCTAGAGGTTTCTGAAGTTGCTACGAAAAAAAAAGAAAAGGAAAAAGAACGGAAGAAAAAAATTTTTTGAAAATTAAAGGGAACAGTAAAATGGGCAGCAATAGCAAATATTAAATCAAATACGCATTGACATCATCAAAATAATGAAAAATAGAGATATGCTTACATGCTCCAGATTTCTTGCCACCGAAATATTCGTTTCCTCTAACGCCTCAGAAGAGAGTTTTGGATCATAATATATTATTGGTTCTCCTTTTTGTTGAGCGTCTACTGGCGGGCTTGATGTCGCAAATAAAGAGGTGTAATGAGAATGTGTTTTATATGGCTTTAATAAAACTTTCGTGTCGAGATCTACTTCGAGCCTTAAAAAGAATTCGGGGACAGTAGTAAAATTGGAGGATGTGGTGATCGATACGATGTTATTTGGTGAATAGACGACATCTGACATGTATTCTTCCTCAGACTCTTGAAACGACATCTACGGAGGTATCGGTAGGTGACTTTTAGGAAGAAATTGAAAAATTGCTCAACAAAGATGGTCGAAGAGATTCCTTGGATGTTGAATTTACATAAACTACCCGATTATTTTTATTTATATTAAATTTAGTGTAACGTCACGTTGTATAAAACCCTTAAATAATCCGAGTCACATGGCTTAAGCACAAACCTTATTCATCATGTACAACACAAGATGTAAAATACGTGACTTTTTAAATCCACGTGGTTATTTAATCGGCTGAAGAATGTCCTTCCAACAAAAATTGGTCCCGCGAAGCATCCATCTTACCCATATTTTCTTGCTTGTGCTTTTGGATGTTTTGGCGACTTGCTATAAATCAGGATTTGTTTGTAAGCAACTCAAAGTGAAGTGCCACCATCGAAGCTGGAACTGTCGGGCTATCTAACATAAGCTGGGGTCTTGACGTGAAGGCACGCCTTATGTTTTGCTAAACTTTCAGGTATAAGCTTATTTGACCTTTCTTACTCATCAAAAAAGATCAAAGAAAGGTATGGTTCGGTTATACTGAACAACCTGCGATTGATAGCTTCACATAACATTTTGGTCGCCGATGCATATCACATCCAACGTTCGAAATATCAAGATAAAGGTAAGAAAGAGTACAGGCACAAGATTCCACTATGGTCGAGAACCCATACTTAATCATTCGACAATGCAGTATATGTTAAGGATTTGATTCTCGGACATCTCGCGTACCGGGGAAAAGATGTAATAAACATTTATGTCTGCAAAAATTCTTGGACACTGGCAAAGGTATTATTTGACGTTTCATGATATTCGATGAATCTTCTTTTCCAATTTTAATCCTGACGGCGTGTCATATCATTTTGAAAGTTTTTTTTACCTTTGATTCGTAAAATTTGAGATGGCCACCGAATGGAAGATTTATAGCGGTTTGAGATCATTGCATTAAAGGTAGGAATACTACTATGCGCGGCAAAAAAATAATTTATAACCAAAATTGGATCGACACTGACATAAAAGAATTCCAAAGTATAAAGTTTTTAATATATACGCCGTACGGTCAAAGAAACTGTCAAATGTCACGTGGATACCCACTAAGATGTGATCAGAAGGTATTGTATTTAGTTCACTTTTGGAATCACTTGATCCATCCATATCAATTTATCTATTTAATATAACGGATCGCTTGTTAGACCATTTCTCCTGGGAACCGACCACAGAATTCACCCATTACAATCACATCAGTGGTGATGACCTGGTAAGATTTGGGACTTCTTCGCTGAAATCGCCGGATTTGTTTTGCCATTAAAAATGCGAATACCTATAACATTAGGATAAACCAATGAGCACCACAAAGAATACAGTCGAACAATTTTCTGAAGATACATTACATCATCTGTCGACCGGGGTAATTAAATGATGATCTATAATGAGTTTAGATATTCTTGTCAAGAAATTGGTAGAAATTTCTGTCAATCTTTGTGATTTCGGTGACATTTTCTAAATGTTATCCTTATACGTTTAAATGACATATTTGATTTCTAAAGATAATATGTCGGATTGTCTACGAATCTGAGATATTTTCAAAGGGAAACCAGTATACAATTTACAAACAAAAGATAATTCTGTTGAAATCCAATTGAACCTGAACAATTTGCGATTTGTTAGGAAAACCAAAGTATATACTTTGGAGTACACGGGGAGTGGATATGAAGTTTTCGAAGTACCTGCAAGTTGAATTTAGCATCTGTCTGCAAATGATTTTCAAATCCGAATTGACTTTTTTCATATATATACTTCTAATTAGTTAATTGTTTAGCAAACAGCATTAGGTAGTCACCATCTGGTACTGTAATTCCTTATTAATAGTGACAAAGAATTTTTTTCCTATTCTTTGTTTTCAACGTTGACCACAATGGTAGATTCTCAATTAGACCGGGAGTGTATGCGTTTTCAAGATTACAAGAATTGGGATTATTATACTTACGCACATTATATATATTTTAAAGTTGACACTGCATAGCAAATGACTTTACCTTCGAAAAAATTTATTATATACAGTATAATATAATAATAACTATTTATTTACGATAAACATAATATATATATTTATTTATTTACATCCATTAATTGTATAATATACAGAGTTTAAATGGCACCAAATTTACAAATTCATAATAAAACTACTCTGATTCTCATTGGATCCCATCGTTTCGCCATCACATGAACACTGTTCCTCGTAGGCATGTTCAACACAATTCGCTTGGCATAGTTCTTGATCGGATAGAGCCTCCTGATTCATTATGCTCGGGCCGCCACAACCACCGAAACCGCCACAAAATCCTGGTGCCGCAACAAGGGGTTGAACTCCACCACAACCGCCACAAAATTCTGGTGCCGCAACCAGGGGTTGAACTCCACCACAACCGCCACAAAATTCTGGTGCCGCAACAAGGGGTTGAACTCCACCACAACCGCCGCAAAATTCTGGTGCCGCAACTAGGGGTTGAACTCCACCGCAACGAGGATAATTTCGCCTTAATAAGCGTAATCCTCTCTTTCGCAGAATGCCTGAATTATGTGAACTCTTATTATCACCTGGAAAGTTTGGTTTTTGATTCATTCCGCGCTTGAGAATCATGGTTTTGCAATTCTCGTTTTGTCCACAATAGGAAACTTGTTGCTCAGTCTCGTCACAACACTCAAGACCATGATTATCACAATATGCGGATTCATAGTCAGTATTTGAACAACATGAAACGTCTTGAACGAGATTCGGTGCACCACAGATGCTTCCACCGCATGCGGGGGGGGATTACTGGAAGACATTGTGCGTTGTCGCAAGAATTAATGTTGGGAAATGCGTATATTACCGCCAAAGTGGTGAAAGTAAGGAAAATGGTAAAACGAAATTTCATGTTTAAAAGATTCTCTAGTTCAAAAAGGATTATGTTAATTGCTTCAGTGAAGTTGATTCGTCTGTTGGATTTGAATAATTTTTCAACACGAGAAGCAGGTTATATTTATAATGTCCTGTGAAAATTAAATTTACGAACGAATAATTAATATAATAAATCTATGATAACTAAATTAACCATTTTATCAAAATTAATAAAATAACAATCGTATTAAGTTACAGTAAATTATTCGAGACCATTTCTTTTATCAAATTTGTCAGACGAAAGAAGCAATTTTTAATCAATTCATTTTATTCATGCTACTAGCAGTTGATCTGATTTATTACAATTTAAGACTATTCGCATCACAAAGGTAATTGCAAAAGTATATGATGATGCATAATGCATATGAACAATTGGACAAATAACTTGTTTTACATGACCGTCTCAATGCAAATACAGTACGTACGATCAAGAAGCGTGAATATCATGGGTGTGTGTGTCCATTATTCTAGTCTTGCTCATACATAAGATTACTCGGCACCCATGAATTTCATGTAAAAGGTGTTTAAAGAAAATGCACACTGCCCTAACAGTTTTGAGCTAATACTTTGCGTAGATGATTTTTAAAGAATAGATTGTTAATGTTACGGCGAATTAAGTATATTAATTGAATCTGTGGAATAAATTATCACGCTAATTACTGTGCATTATGCGGTAGATATTCATTTATTTCAATAAACTATCTTTCTGATTAATAATATCTGGATCGTTATAGCGAAAAACTTTATATTTGAAATATTATACCGTACGACTTATTAAGAAAATGCGTAATTTTTATAAGTGAAACAGATAAAAATTTGAACTGCAATTTAGAATAAAACATTCATCTATTCAATAAAAGTAATAAATTTATTATTCATAAAGTAAAAAATAAAAAATAAAAAAAATTTTTTTTTCAATTTTATATACTGTATATTGCATAAATTTTAATTTTCATATATTTTAATATAAAAGAGTTAAATTTGATAGTAATTATACAATGTGGAACACTCGTTTTTGAGAAATTTTAATTAATTATATGACAAATTTTATAAAAGATTATATATACAATATATATATTTTATGGATAGAAAATATTTTTTATTACAATAAAAATAATTTTAAAAATTTGAAATTTTAAAAAACAATGAAATATTTTTTATGGTATTTAAATTATATTATTGTAATTATTTTATAATTTTAATTTATATAATTAATCTAAAAAATATTATTTTAAATTTGTAAAAATCTAATTTTAATATGATATTTTTAAAATTTTAATCTTTTAATTCAATTTTTCAATATATTTAATTAAATAATTTTGATAAAAAAATTTTAATTTATAAAATTATAAATTTATGAATATATATATATATATTTTTTTTTTTAACCCACAATCATGCCACAATGGCATGTCTTTATTGAAAAATTGAAAATAAATTCACAATATTTTACAGACTTTCACAAAGTGACTAACTCGTCTTCATACAAAAGTACTCTAAGTTGGATTTTGGGGACAATATTTCACTCCCCTAATAGATTGGTAATAACTTCTATCTACCAGGATCATTACCAATAGTTTGTCACTGTTGATTGCCCTAAAACCAATGAATTGCTAAGTTAAAAAGAGAAAGGGAAGAACGATTTGAGAAAGGAGACAATTCAAGGCCCACCAAAAAAATCCAAAAATAAAAACAACCTCTTCTCAAAAGGGATCTGCCTGATTG